CCCCAAGCACCAGCTTGGGTGCCTGGTGCCTGGAGCCGGCCCTGCTTGTTGAACCTCATCAGGTTTCTTTTGGCCCAATCCTCTAATTTGTCTAGGTCCCTCTGTATCCTAGCCCTACCCTCCAGAGTATCGACCACTCCTCCCAGTTTAGTGTCATCTGCACACTTGCTGAGGGTGCAGTCCACGCCATCCTCCAGATCATTCTCCAGATGCATAGTCAGCATTTATAACTCCAGATACATCAATGATACATGCATACAAATAGGATAATCATATTCGGCAAACTGTAACTTTTCCATTGACACCTAACATGACATATTTTGTACAAGATGCATCATGATTACATCACATTCATATCAGTATAGTGAATATGGGGTGCAGAGCGTCACCACCTTCTCCCTGGCCCCTCCGCAATCAGAAAGCGCCACTGAGTGGGACTGATTCCCACAGGACCTTTCGTGGGAGGCCCAGAGATCCCACCTCTGCATCCTCAGCATCAGCCTTGAAAGTTCTCTCTATGGTAGGAAATGTGGTCGGGATGAGCCAGCGCATCCCTGTGAGCCTCCAGCAGATTTCCTAGTGTAAACGGACCCTGAGCATCTTATCTGTTCTGATCCCTCCATTAGCAGAATGATTGCTAGTCCCTGAGTTCCCCCTTGGGGGCCAGATTGTCTCATTCCCAGAGATTCTCACATTGCTGAAAAGCATTTTTTGTTTGTACATTTTCTGCCTTATGGGCCAGAATTAACTAGATGCTAAAAAAGAGGGAGCAGGGACAGTAAAAAGTGGTGTTTTACCTCCTGTGCTATTTGAAGGCGCTGGGGTGAGTCTGAGGGATGCTTAGGAACCACAGTTCGATTTCTATGATCCTTCCTCAGACTCCTGAGGGTTGGAGAAGAAAGTGTCACAGACCTGGGAGCGGGCAGAGGAATCCCAATGGACCTCAAAGCACAGTGTGACCTGTCCGATCTTACAGCCCTGTTTCCATCTATCGGTAAAATGGTTTCTGGGCTTCTTCCAGGCTAGTTCAGATTTATTTATTTTGTGTCTTTTTTTCTCTTTCTTTTATTATAATGATGCGAAAACTTTTGTAACTAATACAACCAAATAATGAGGCAAGAAGTAAAGCAGGTTTAGCCACTTCAGAAGAAAATGGGAACATTTATTGTCCTGATTTTGAGTCTTAAAAGACTCTCTGAGATTTCCCTTTAGGAATGTGAAAGTGTTTTATAGCCCACCCTGCATTGTGGGTTTTCTCTCTTTGTGAAGGCCGTTTGGTCACATACTTCGATATTCGCTTAGTGTGACAGGAGGTAGCTCGGATTTAGTGAGGATCTCATGGGACAAGTGATCATTTGCCACAATAGTTTTGTATTTTATTTTAACCTTTGTCGTGAGATTTTTTTAGTGGTGTTTGAACAATGACAATGATCAATCTCTCTCAGCACAAACTCTCAGGGTGAGAGCTCAATTCACACTCCGAGAGGCCGAGACTGAAACGGGGAAGGAAGTCACTACCCGAATGATCCCTGTGACATACCGTCAGGAGGAGGAGAGGGTGGGAGGTGCGGGAACAGAGCTGGGAACCTCCTGGGTTTGCGATCAGAGCTGGGCAGCTGAGGCTGAGAACTGTGAACTCCCTGCATCAGAGCCAGAGACAGACAGGAATCGGCCTAGGAGTGTCGTGTGAAGCTGCCCATCTATCACACTGTCCTGTGTGGGGACGACAGAGACTCTCTCTGCCCCACTCGCTCCACACTCATCCCTCCAACCGGAGCTCTTTGGATTTCCTGCTCCCGGGGTGTTTGCTTGTGTGCCTGGCTCCCAGCGTCTCTCATGGTTCCTCGACACTTCTCTACCCGTTGACAAATGTTGCTGGTTCATGCGGGTGTTGGGCGCGGCCAGGCGCTGGGCTGGGGGTGAAAAGTCCCGCATTGGGCTGGGCAGGCTGGGACTGGGGAAAGGAGTCTGTCTTTGTTCGTCCTTTGAAATAATCAAGTAGAATTTAGTTTCTCCCACTCCCAGTGTCCTGTGTTTTGCATTCAATGCCTACCCACTCCAGAGCTAAGATTAAAGGAAAAGGCAACGCAAACATGGTCTGGGATGGACATACACAGCGAGGTCACTCAAACCACCGCATCCCTCTCATAGGCTCCTCAAACTTCCCATAGAGATAAAACTCACTCAACTCCTGTGCCTCCCCCTGACCCGAATACAGACCAGGAACAGTCTGACCGGGTTCACAGGGCCATTCGCCTCTCCCTCACCCTGGTGTAAACCAGACGTAACCCACTGGAACCCCTTGTTCTGTCTACACCAGTGTGAAGTTGCTGCAAGTGGAGAATCAGACCA